CAAAATGAGATGCTAAGGATTTGCATACAGATTTGACTACACAAAAATAGATCTGGAATTAATAACAGTCTCTATATGTTTTAATTTCTTCTAGACTGGAGTACCCTTGCCTCCAGCAGTATTCTTGGCTTTGAAAGTCATCAAGCTGATTTGTCTGCTCTTAGGTTATGATGCCACATGCTGCTACACTGTCCCCTGCAATCAAAGTGCTCGCAGAGATAGATTCCATGCCTTCCCCTAACAAGTATATTTTATAGATTGGCAGTTTTGATCTCCCCTCCCCAGGGGGATAATCTGCATCTTAACAGGTTTCTATAGATACATCTGTCATTAAATATGCCATCTTATATCTGCATCAATTTTCAAACTCAAGTTCCTCCTAACTTTGAAGTGCTATAGCAAAAGTTTAAAATTTTCTGCCAAAATTCAAATTTAACAAGTCTGCAATGTCCTCTTGAACTTTTTTTTTTTTTTTTAAACAAGTTTAAATGCTACTAAAAATAATACATACTTTCTCAGGAAAAAAAAAGGGGTAATTCTGAGATAAATTATTACACTTCTCCACAGTACTTCCTATGAGGGAAGGAGGAGAAAGGCAGGGAGGCATCATAATTACACTTAAAAAGTGGCATTTAAGAATACAAACCAAGCTATTAAATTTGATGTCATGCAATAGCAGCTGAAGTGATAGGAACCCGTCAGTTAAGGGAGGAGGGAAAAAAAACATCCGGCTGGGCAAATGTCAGAAAATTTCCAGTTTCGTCAGCGCTCGCTTCGACACAAGCAGCTTGCTTTGAGTTTCCAGGAGGCAAGAAGAGCTCTCAGGACAAGCCCGTGCCTGTCTCGTTCTTACAGCTGCGCAAACACGCTCTTGGGAAGCCCAGCACCTGACCCGTGGGTTTATGGTGCTTTTACACTGCCGCAATCACTGCTGCTCACTCCCTTGCAGGCTGCAAATCCTGCTTTTCAGGCCCTCCTAGGGTTCCCACCTGACGCAACAGCGCCTCCTCTACTTGGAGAGGTGCTGGAGGAGTCCAAGACCTGCCTTGTCCAGCCCATCTCCACACATGGGAAATATTTTGGTTTGTGACAGTCCACAAACAGCACTGAAAAGCGCCTTCAACAAAGACACCACCAAAAAGAGAAGGGGGGGAGGCAGCACCATTTCTCCAGTTGAAAATCTCTAATACCTATTTATAACATGTCCTAGTAAGACCCCCATATGATTTGAGAAATCTCAGCCAATCCAAACCCCCTAGAAAATCTCACAACCCCCTCTGAAGTCCCCAAGTGCTAGGCTGCACGCACGGATCCCACTTTGCTGGGAGACGTGTAAAATGACATGTTGGCAAAGAGCTCCCACGTGTATTCCTTCCAGCAAATCCAGGGAATATATAGAAACTCATGACATGTCCCCCAAGGTGCTCTGCTATTTTAAAATAGCAATCACTCCTCTCTTAGGTGTCTGTGTGTTAAACACAACATAATCCTTCCTCAGCATGCAAGCCCATTGCCTTTTGCTTCAGCCAGCCCAGGTGCAGAGAGGACAGCTGGGCTGGAGCATATTCTCCCACCAGAAGGACAGCCCTGGAAGACACCGACAACGTCCCACAACGGATGCAATCCGGCTGCAAACAAGAGGGGCACAAGCCCTACATTGTTTGTGGGTTGTCTTTTTTAAAAACATTAAAACCTCATGTTTACATTCAGTCTAAGAAGAGTCAGTGGCATCAAACTTACAATGTTGATGCTTCAAAGGTGTGAGATCCGTTATCTTTATTCAAGCAGAACAGCAACAATAAAGAAGAAATACTGTTCCATATAGAGACTGAGGCAATTCGTATGTACTTGTTAAGCACATGCTCCTCCTAATTTCTGTGATAAGTGCACCGCAAAACTTGATTTGGTTAGACACTGTGGATTCCTATTTATTCCAGATCTCTCCTTTGAAGAAAGGCTAATTTGGGCTTGTTCAGCCTGGAGAACAGAAGGCTCCAGGGAGACCTTATAGCCCCTTCCAGTACCTGAAGGGGCTACAAGGAAGCTGGGGGGGACTTTTTACAAAGGCCTGTAGTGACAGGACAAGGAGGAACAGGATTAAATTGAAAGTGGGGAGGTTTAGATTAGATGTCAGGAAGAAATTCTTCACAGAGAGGGTGGTGAGGCACTGGAACAGGTTGCCCAGAGAAGCTGTGGATGCCCCATCCCTGGATGTCTTCAAGGCCAGGCTGGATGAAGCTTTGAGCAACCTGGTCTAGTGGAGGTATTTTATAGGTATTTACTGAGAAAAAAAAAAATTCTCATCACAATAAACAGCATACTGATATAATATAATACTTCTCCCCAAAACCACTGGCATACTCAGACTAATTCTCCAAGATATGTGATCTCCATCATTCACTTGATCAAAATCTCCATCATTAGGGAAAAAATAAAAATAATGATAAAAACCATTGAATTTTGAAGAAAAAGTTGTTAAAAACAAAGCAACTGTTCAGGACTGGTTTATTTACATCCTGCTCCCCTCCCCCCCAAGCTGAGTTTCCACGTGCATGTGAAGATGTGATTTGAGCTGACACACCGAAGGTCTGCAACTGCAACCCCAGAGAAACAACAGCAGAACCCTTCGCTGCAGAGCGGACTTTTCATGTGCTAATCTCCCGAGCACTTGAGGCGAGGGGAAGCCTCGTTATCCCCAGCTGCCAGCGCAGGAACGGCCCCCAGCTGAACTGCCTGGCAGAGGGTCCCTGCCCCTCTCTGTCCCCACGGGCCCTACACCTAAGCTGGGGGAGGGAGGTTACCGTCTGTGGAAAAGCAGGGCTCCAGCTTGGCGTGTGCGTGCCACGGCGGATGCGGGGCAACGGGCAGAGTTCAAGTTCTCACTCTTATGGAAAAATATTTCCCTGCTTTTATAGGGAATGATTGTTCGTAATGTTGAACTCCAAAGGGTTTGGTGCGTTTTGTTTCTCTTTTCACTCAAACGCTTCTACTTTTCAAGCATGTGGCACGCAATTCGTTTGCAAAACGGGTCACGGTGTCAGATGTTAACTGGGGCCTGGAAGATTCATCTTCCTATAAAATTGCAAAACCATCTGCCCGATGCAGTACTGTCGATACAGAAAACTTACTTTAATGAATTCTCATCTACTTTTATAAAATAAGAAAATAAAATGTGGGGTGTGAAAAAAGAAAAGTTTAAAAAAACTATGAGAAAAAATAATGACACAAACGTAAAAATATGTTCCACAATACGTGGAGCTCAGTAAACTCGAGAGCTGAACCCACTAGTGCTGACCAGAGGGTCCGACTAGTTCCGGACTGCAGACGGCTCCCTCTACAGCCTTCTGGCAAGTTAAAAACCCCACAGGGCTGGAGGCAGCTTAGGGGTCCCCTCTGCCACCCGAAACATCGGCCACCCACCCATCGCCTGCTGCCAGCGTGTGCTTACAGCACTTGGTTTAACACGCTTCCCTTCCCTGCTGCCTGCGCCACGATTTTACGCTCTATTATGTTTTTATTCCTTCTTGTATTTCTCCCAAAGGAGCAGGAAAGTAAAGCCGACCATGAAACCCAATAATAACAGCAGAAACCTCTTAAGTCTAGATCAGCAAAGCCTTTGGAAGACAAGGGGCGTAAACAGCCCATGTGTGGGTCATGTTTTGATGACTGTCTCCACAAACACAGGGGCTAGAAACTCATCACTATTTAATTTATTCACTTACTAAAAGCCTGGGCACATTTTCATGGTTACCTTGCCAGCTGGTAGTAGCAGACTGACTTTGAGAGCTCTTGCTGGTGACCCGTATTCCCCAGAAAAAGCAGTAGGGATACAGCTCAGAAACATCCCTAACTAGGACTAATTTTTTAATTACTTAATTTTAAGGCACATGAACTGGGTTCCCTCCTGCATTACTGTTTACTCTTATGTTAACACTTTACATTTGATGATGAACAGTGGATTTTTTAAGCAATGACTATTGATAAATCTGGGACAAAAAAACATCTCTCGGTACTATTCCCCTGCCCTTGCATATAACATGTACAGCAAGCTACCTTTTAGCCCTAAGCAGTTAGTTAATAATAGAAAGCTAGCTGCAGTTATTGCACCTCCATCTACTTTTATTCATAAAATAACTCTCTTGAATACACCACCCAGTTTTGAACCTGAGTACGTAAGTCAGATCAATACCCGACTGAAGTATTGCACAGAATGCTCTCGTAATTCATAATAACCTGTCAGAAACTAGCAACCCAAAACTGCTCAGCATTTTCTCAAAACCGATATAAATTACAACACAAAACTCCTCTCTGTCTTATACCACTGCCAAAACCTTGCTCCTTACTGTGTCTTTACAACAGAAGTTGCGTTGGCAGCATTTTCAAAGACCTCATGGAATAATACCGATAAACTCTTTAAAACTGGGCAAAACAACAGAAAATATTTATCTAATAGGTTTCCACTTACCTCTTCCCCTGATTCTACAGCTGTATTAGAGGCATATCCTTGAACAGAATATCACACTGCTTCATTATATAAATGCAGATAGTATTTAAACACACAGGCAGGCAGGCATTTCACTTACGTAAGTAAGCACATTAATTAATCCTCAGCATAATTTTCCCTTTCCTAGCGTATCTGGAAAGATTAAAAGTAATCTTCAACCAGTCCTACATTTGACTTAATCTCTATCAAATACTTCCTGGTTTTTGAGGGGTCTTTTTGTACAGAAAAAGCAGAAATGAAGGAAAAAAGGCTACATTTTTCATGTACTGGTGTAAGGACTACACTCTGATGGAGGTTTCTAGTGCTTGTTCAACAATGTTATACTAATACATTTAACACAATTACCTAAAAAGTCCTGTTTTTCATAACTAGAGACTGAAAAAAATGCTAAGAGGAAGAAAAAAGTAGGGAGGGGGAAAAAATCAAGACACAGCAGTAGTAGCACCCATGTATTGGAATTGCCTATCACAGGCACACATCTCTGTCCACTGATAAAACAGCAAAGGCCGTGAACAAACAGGGAAATGGCTCCAAACACACCCGGCTGGTACCCTAAAGCCAAAATCCCATTTCTGTACCGTACCTGTGTCTCAAAGCTCACGGTGTGCACACTTCAGGATTAACACACAGGAGAAACTCAAGACTCCTTCAATGCCAGTTGTTGAACAAAGTGACCCAAAGCACCAGCCAGGGATCTCTTGGTGATTTTCAGCATTCCATCATGCTTTTAATTCCAAAGTCATTATTCATTATTTTAGTGTACATGTATAAAACTAGATACCTGTCACCTTCCCCAGCAATGCTTGGGAATCCATTCCCATAAGGCACTTAATCCATATGGGCAGAAAGATACATCTGCAAGGAACTCCGCTAACCTAAATTACACACTCTGAGAATCACAGAATCTTTTAGGTTGGAAAAGACCTTTAAGATCATCAACTCCAACCGTTAACCAGCACTGCCAAATCCAGCACTGAACCATGTCCCTAAGCACCACATCTACCCGTCCCTTAAATACCTCCAGGGATGGCGACTCAACCACTTCCCTGGGCAGAAACACAGCAAAGGCTTAACTTAATCTTTCATTTATATACCATCTTTTCACTGTCAGGATCCCAGACCATATTAAAATCCCCAGAGAACATATACAGTGAAGATGGCAATCACTGAACATTTTCCTCAAGGGCTGGCCCCATTTACTCATTCACTTCCTTTAGAAATACTAAACTTTATAACCTTTCGGGACGCACTTCTTAGTAAAAAGTGGGTGGTTGTTTTTTCTCCTGTCAAACTTCCATAGACAGCACCTCGTTCCAAAGTAACCAATAACAGAAATGTCACTACAAAGACTGATGGCACGACGTCTTCAACTCCCATCAGCGTGCACATGTAAAATAAAAAGTACATCAGACGGAGTTGCAAATAATACGTTATTTCAAGACTACAAGGCCTGTACTGTCATCTATATGTGCCATAAAGCTATGATTCCATCAGGCAGTCCTCTGCACTTGTTATGGACAGAGCTGTGTGTGTTTTCTAACAAGGGTCATCTTGGCCTGTTGCAATATCCTCAAGAGCAAGTGAGAGCAGTTCATAACATCTGCCTTCAATCCCTGGATCTATACAAGCCAACAAGCACTTCATTCTCTGTTTCATTACCAGGAATAAACGCAGTGGTACCAGATAACACCACAGAAACTGGGTGTTGGGTTTTGGTTTTAGGGAGCGGGCAGAATTTGTCATCTGAAATTTGCCCAAAAGTGCATTATCATTTCGATTCACTGTGATTTATGAATGGTGACTGGAGCTAGCATGTATGATGTATGCAGCTTGGAAACACAGAGAGGTATTTAGCAGACAAAAAAAAACATTGCATAGGTATGTTACACTCCTCTGCTTCTAATCAGGCTTCACTTTATGCTTCCAGGCTAAAATTCTTTGAAACGCCCATTTCCTAAGACAAAAGTTATCCTGACATATAAACCTAAGAAGATTTATTAGTTTCATTCAAGACAGTATTCAGGTATTTTGTTAGTACCTCAAACTGTGTGAAACGTTTTCTACCTGATATCCAAAGAAGACCATCCACCACATATCCCGCATGGCAGGAGAGCGATCGATCGAAGGACTGTACAAAGGTCCACTTGTTCTTCTTGGGACAATAGCGTTCCACTGTAGGTAACACTTGACGCAGTTCATTTCTGCCTCCTACTGCATAGAGGTACTCGTCCACCGCTCCCAGCACAAAGTGCTCCCGGCAGTTCTTCATCGGCGCTATCTCAGCCCAAGAGTTGGTGCGGGGGTCGTAGCGACAGGCAGTCCTCACGGCACAAGTGCGCCCCGTGGAGTGCTCTGCCTCTCCACCAGCGACAAAGAGAAAGTCTCCCATGACAGCAACACAGTGGTGGCTTCTCCCTACCGGCATGGGCGCCAGCTCGCTCCAGTTTGCAATCCCTGCGATATGAACATTCTCTTGATCTACCGGATTGAAGTATCGCAATTCCTTCACTTTACAGATTTCACGTTTTTTCCCGCCAATAATGTAAAGAGTGTCCGACTGGAAGCGAGGTTTTGTCCTTCTGGTTTGCCAAACCGGCTGTGCATAGACACTCTGGTGGTAAGCCAAGGCCTCGTTAATAAGTGCCGTCGCAGTTTCGCTGGCTTGGACGAGAGGATGAGAAAGAGCTACGGTATGCAGCGTATCCACATCCATAAGGCCAAAACGGACATGCTGAAGAAGTTCATCCATGTACTGGTAGCGACAGTTGTGTTCCAACCACCTCACAGCCAGCTAAAAGTGAGGGGAAGGAGGGGAAAAACAAGACACCAATTATTTGTGTACAATTCTGTCAAAATTTCATCTTTCGAAAACTGTTTTTGCATATGTACTATGTATAATATATATAATTATATTTTACATATAGTATAGTGTATGTGTGTATATATACACACAGTATATACAAGTCTGAGCTATATACTTGCCTCAGCACTGACACCAGTCAATACAAAAAGTAGTTGCGAATGCACGTGAGTCAACATAGAACATACCTACTAAAACTCCACCTACAACAAGCATAAAAGCTTTGTATCGCACCAGTCCCGCTAAACAATTTCACAGCATTATCAGACTGCCATACTGCTACGCAATACTCTTGCCGTTCAAACTGTTAGTGATGCTGTAGGAGACCACAATGTCCCAGAGCCAAGCTGCTGGAGCAATAATATAAATGTAGGGACTATGTGACCATTGGAGACCATGGGTACACTAGAAAGAAAAGTAAGATTATGGTTAGATGCTTAGAAAAAGCCCTTTCTCCAAACCATCCTTCATTCTAGCAATGACAAAATATTGAAGGAATATAATAAAATAGATACTGAATGTCTCAATATTTTTTCCTTCTTCCTTTATTTCATTCATAAAATGGAGAGAGGTGTAAAGGGACAGAAATTGAGAGAATGGAGAAGCAGAGAAGAGGCTTTGCTGGTTTGGGATTCGTCAAGAAATCGTCAAGGAAGACTCTCAAAATGTTCAGCAATGGCATCTGGTATCAACAGCCAAAATTAAGCATAGCCTTTAAATTACATAAAGCATATGGAATCCAACCAGGTCTAAAAAGAAGCTAGGAAGGCCCAAAACCATTTCAAGAACTGTTGTGTAAGTTGTTCTTGAAAACCTCCACTGATGAAGATACCAGAAAACTTCCTCAGGAAAACCATCCCCATGCTCAGCTATCCTCTCAGACAGATTTTCCTTTTATCTATGCAGGAGCTGAAAACCCTTCAACTCATTGCCTCATCTTCCCCCTTTGGGTTTATACTCCAGAGCTCAGGAACCCACAGACCAGCCCCTGAAATGCACTATGATATTGCTGATTCATGTTTAAGCTTATGACGAGTTCTATTCACAGAATCACAGAACAGTTTGGGTTGGAAGGGACCTTAAAGATCATCTAGTTCCAACCCCCCTGCCATGGGCAGGGACACTCTCCACTAGTATGTTCTTACCTTCTTCCCCTCCATTGCAGCCTTTCTGCAGAAGCCCGTACTGGGCTCACTTGCTGGCTTCTCCAAGAAATAACCCCCCCCAACTACCACACTTGAGACCGTACTAGGAGCAGAAGTGTAGCAGCAGACAGCAATGGCCTTGCTTTGGGTTCTGCCAAACTTCCACAAACCGTTATGCTTTCTCTGTCATGACTGAACTCTCTACTATTTAATTCCAGCTACTACTCTGATCTGTCAAGATCATTTTCACTCCTAATTATACTTTAAAATGTGCTTGAAGACCATTCTACCTTCTGATTGTCCGAAAACATAAACCCCATATTATTGTTTCATCCAAGTCATTAACAAAGACATTGACTAGTTCTGGATGAGGACAGACCCCTCTACTTGATACTCCATTTCATCCTGACAAAGAACTTGCGGAGCAGGAATTTCTAACTAGTCGTGCGATAACAACCTCTTCAGCTAAAACTTACTGTCCTGTATTGCTCATGGGAATGTCACATGAAGGAGCTGAAAAGAAAGGCTTCTGTCTTACTCAAGGCTTTCATATACACATGGTATAGCAAATTTATTGCTGCTTCTGTATTCTGTCAGAGAGGGAAGATGATAAACTAAAACCACCTTCTTATTAAGAATAATTTGAAACACTTTTGCTCCACTGTGCTATTCAACCCCTGTGAAACAAAGAATCAATGAAGGGCATCAAAACTGCAACAGTAGTTCAGTCAGTTAAATGCTGTATTGAGTTTCAAAATGTGCTTTAGCTATATGTATTTAGACCAGTTAGTAAAAAAAGGGAGTTCATTAAATACATTTGAACGTGTTTATGGACTTGAAATCGTTGAGCTTTATGTTCACATGTTCTAAATCCACCTAATCCATGTGTCAGGTGTCTCCTACTGAGTGGTTTTAGACAGCTCCATACTCCGTGTCTTGGGCCATGCGAGTCATTCCGCAAAGTCTTCAGAGGCACTTCGCTCTCGGCACTGACGAGACACTTGAAACTGAAGTGGAATTCAGGCTATATCTTCATCATGATGAAGACAGCGACTGAATTCATACCAACGGAATGATGTGTGGGTTGCTATATTAAAAGAAGAATTTATGAAAACTGAGTTCTTATTTGTCACCCCTTGCACCCAACAGACTGGTTTCTTTTGCTTAGAGTTCATGCCTTCCCTCACTTCTAACATGGCATCGTGGAGGCATCACCTGTGCTATAATGACAGACTTTATAGGCTCTCAAAGGACATGCACTAATTTGAACCAGGTCTTGGTAGCCACAAGGTATTTAAAGCAAGTTTAATATTAATGCCTGCTCCTATCTTAGAACTTCACCCTTCTTTCTTTTACTGTCCTCCCTCCCACCCCACAGTAAATACTATATAAACAAACACAAGCAACACTACATACATTCCTACCTTTTAAAGACACAGTATCTGCATTCATTTCTGCGTGTGGGATGTGTGACAACCTGCAGCAGAAGGGATGGACATCTCCATTACAATACGTTTTTTCTGCTGCGTGAAGTTTGGCAAAACCGATGTGGTTCCTACTGCGTTTGGGCTGCACTAAGCATAGTCCTGGAGTTGTAAAAAAATGTTTCACCAAAACCAACAATGCTTAACATTTCTCTAAAAATCACAGAATTTCTAAACCACCACAGTGATGGTGCAAAGCAATACAAAGATTCTGTTGGCACTCACAGCAGATGTACAATCTATTCCTGGTCTTCAACCAAAACTTTCTCCATCCTCTCCTACAGCAATTCATCCCCACTCCTCTGTCCTGCATTTTCATTGATGAAAACTTATGAATCTTTCCAAATTTATTGCAACCTCCTTCAGATCTTCTACGTGCTGCACCCAAAGGTGTCTTTGGTCACAGTACTTGCACCTTTCCCTTCTGACAAACAACTGCAAGAGCTGTGGGGAGGGTAAGTGAATCCCGGGCTGTCTGTCATATAGGTTGCTACTGGCTCTTACCAGACTCCACGCCTGAGGTCAGTTTGCAGTGGAGTACTGCATTTTACTGTATTAATGTGGGAAGCAGGGCTAAGAGCCTTGCATATCATTATCACCTGGGTGGTCTGTACGCATCTCAATCTGCAGAGAAGCTCTACTGGGTCTTGGGGAGGCAACTGAGGCCTGGGAATCACAATGTGTTTAGAAGCTCCTGCCCAGATCGACTCATGCTGCTGTTGAACACAATTTGACATTTGTTCTGCATTACGCATTGTTAAGGTGCTCGCCCCCAGAACATGGTGTCTGACATAAAGCAGGCAGGGAAGAAAATTGAGTTGTCTGTGTGGGTGAACAGATATACTAGTCACTGGATGGTTTCACAGCTATTGGAGGGCTGGAGAAGTTCAAAAGGAAGAAAATTAAGTTCCCAAACAAGTCTTTGCTTGTAGCAGAAATAGTCACCGATGGACTGTACAGTTTTAAACTTCCTTCAGCACAAAGGAGGCAAATCTCTCTCATGAACATATGGCAGAAGCACAAACTTCCACGTAGCACTGATAAATACGCAGATGTTTGCTGATATGCAAGTTCCACCAGCTTTACTCATTTTTTTGTTTAATCCAGACTTAGAAACCTGGTGCTTAAATAGAAACTCCAAAATTCACCCTGCCTAATTATAGTGCCTGTTTTTCAGCCTCTCTGGCAGTAGTGATTAGCAACTATAATCAGTACTGGCAAAATAAACTCAAAGCCATCACATACTTTGTGACATGGCAAGGAGAGGCATTCAGACTTCTCTAAGAAGATACCAATAGCACTTGAAATTACAACTGTGTCTAAAACACAAACAAGGAAGCAAGCAAACACAAAGAGACCATCCACAACTTTGAGTTTTAAAATATTTGTATTGCTGCTAAATAATTTACAAAAATAAAGAAATACTCCCACTCCCAGTGCCATACAGGCAAATTCTGTTTAAACTGCTAGAAGCTTCTTTTCTATTAATTTTAATGTATGAGTCTGTGAGAAAAGGAAGCTACAGTCTAGTGCCTATAACAACTATAATAAATAATATATTTTGCCACATTCATCTTCTGAACTATGTAAATGACACAAGTAGACCCTCAGAAGGACAGGATTTTCACACCAGATTAATTCTCTTGTTCTAAAGCCTTAACCCAAAGGTTTTTTCCTCTCCAAGGTTACATTACTTGATTTCGCAAAGGAGTACATGCTCAAAACAGCAGAAAACAGATGGAAAAATATATTGTGCCATGGTTGGAACATACATCTAAACACACCTGCATGTTGGACTGTGATTTCACTGCATTTCCAACACCTGCTTCTGCTTCCAGCACGGTGCTTCGACAGTGCAATTCACACAGCCTCAGAGTGAGGCCCTTCCTGCGCTGCTGTTAGCGATCTGTGTACTGCATATGTACTGCAGCCCAGGTTAAAGCTGAACTAAGAGTTTCACCCCTGTTGAAGATAACCCTGCAGTAAGCAGTTACCTGGTGTTTTGGGCCGCCAGCTATCCCAGGAAACAAAAAAACCCATCACACCTGTTCCTTGCCCATCCAGTGTACTCCTGCAATCCTTCTCATGCCACTTGGCAGGGAGACGTGGCAGACCTTCACTTGACACCACAGCAAGTTCTCCAACCAGAAAAGCCAAGCTACTTCATGAGGAGAAAAAGCTTGCCATACCAATTAGAGCCAGATTCACCTGGAAACTGCTTTACATCACAAAGTCAGTGTGAGGGAAAGTTGATGTCTGCAGAGCTCAGAGCAAAACACTGCTCTACGCCTGGGTTCTGTGCGAGTCAGGGGCCACGGAAGCTCCATTCAAGTCACCCTGGTCTGACCTCTAGTTGATGCATTCGTGTTGTAGCCAGACATACTGCAAAGGAATTACACTAGTTTATACCATCTAAGATTTCTAATAAATGAGACGAAGGCAAGAAGTGACAGTGGCGGAGAAAAGGAGGGATTTGGAGGTGGTGGGGTTTTTTAGCAATGACAAATAAAAGGAAACATGAAACCTTATGAGGTTTCAAAACAATGAATTCACATGTCTCGTTAAAACAAATTGAAATCTTAAATACAATAACACAGTGAACATTGTCCTTTCTCCTCAAATGGGAGTATTCAACATGGACAAGTGGCAGGAACTATTTTCCTGGACTGATATCAGATATACTCAATGCAAATTATCTGATTTCTGCATAACAATCTGATGATGATATATACCACGGAAAGAGAAAGAAGCACAAATCAGTTCTTTTAATATAAATCTCACACAGATTCACAGAGTGGAATCTCACCTGAACAATCCTTTTGTTTCTTAAATTAAGCAAAACGTTAGGCCAGAAAAACATCAAACTAGTATCTTTGCATCATTAGCATATTGGACGGTGCTAGAGATCAGCTCCGACCGACTGATAAGACAAACAGAGTAATGAAAGCAACACAGTTACTACAGCAAACACTTTAAGGCACTGAGGGAACTTGAAAAAGCAAAACTTGGACCTGACTAGCTCAGTGTTCAGGAACACTAGAAATCTCTATTTTGGCCATAAACTTGCACATGATTTGGCCTCTCCATGAAGTTACCCAACTCAGCAAGCCTCGGGCATCCCAGACTGGAACCTCTTGCCTCAAACCCACTGTGTGTCTCAGATGGCTATCATCAGCAGCACCCTGGCTCTTCAAGGCTCAAGTCCAGGAACAGAACTCATGAATAAACCAGGACATTTACTAAAATTGTAAAACAAACTCTACTGAAGGCTGTGAACTTTTTAAAAATGAGCAGGGATTTCCAAAGGGCCTGAATTTGGATCTCTAAAGGGTCCCAGTTCTTCTGTCTCTCCAGAGACTAAAAAGGACAAACTCCAGAGAGTTTAGGGTATCAATTTAAGCGTTTAAGCATTAAGATGAATTGGGCTGTATCACCCATTTAAGAATAAAAACATATGGATGAAGAAATGTTTCTGGAAAAAAACCCAAACCACCAAACACAACTTTTCAAAGCCATGAGTTGCACGTGAAT